ACTGTTTATATTTCCACGTGTTGACGCTTGTGTTTTGAGCAAATTAAATAATCTACAGGCTTAAGGAAATGGTAACGAAAACATGGTAGGATCTGTTTTGAGGGACATGCAATGAACTAAGAATTGGTTTAAACTTGTTGATAAAAAATGTGTCTTTATTAATCTATTTGGTGGTTTTGTAGTCGCATTGGTAGATGGGAAGATATTAAAATTTGGTAGATTTCGTCCTCCGCATTCCTTTATATGTTGGCTAAGGGATATTTTTCTGGTGTGGGGATCTCTAATTTGTTGGCGATGAACTGTCATCCTTTGTCGAAGTGTCTCGCCAGTTTGGCTAATGGAATGCTCGCGATAACCCATGCATGTTATAATGTATATTAGATTCTCTGATTTCCACAGGAAATCATTTTTAATTTTGAATTTTGATCTGTCCTTGAAGTGAAATTTGTGGCCTTCTAGTAGATAGCAGCATACTCCAAAAAGTGGTCGGTTGCATTTTTTCACCCGAGGCTCATTAATTGTGGGGTCTTCAGTTTTCCGTTCGTCGGTATCTTTTTTAGTGATTTTGATTGTCTTCTTTCCATTCTTCTGCCTCCAGCTATGGGTTAAAAACCATGAATCGAAAGAGACATGATCGCCCAAGCGTGTATCACGTATGGCCCTTAACTGACTGATAAAGACTGAAGGTTTGAGCAGGTGCTGTGATCAAAATGAGAAAGAAGAGGATATTAGTTCGAATCATTCACTGAATAATAATACTTCATCTCAGCAATTTAGATATTAAAATGTCAGAAGAATTCTTGAGTCCAAACACAATTGTCAAAACAAACAAGATAAAAATACTGAGCTGAGTAGTATATAGTTAGAAATGGACATGATTCAAGCAATAACTAAGAAGACCTAAATAAGAACCATGCGAGTTAAAAAAGAGCGAAACGAGAAAATGCTATATCCGTAGATTTTCTTTTTATTCATTATATTCGAAAACAAAGCGATAATGCAACTAAGACGCAAGTATCAGGAGGAGAGAAAGTGTAAAGAGTGAAAGAGAATGAGAAGACTTTAGAAGGGATAGGCAACGTAATCCTAAACAGGAAACAAGGGATAAACCTCTACTCCTGTTCAAAAAACCGGGGAGGAGTGTAAACCAAACAATTAATAAAGAGTTCAATTCGAGAGACACACTTGATATTTACTTGTCGCCCCACGCTTGCAGGATGTATCAGTTTAATGTGGGGAGACTATGCGCGTGCAAGCGGGCCAGATCCAATAAATATTCAAGTCCTTGCAACCATCGCTTACGGTGGCATCAGTATTGCTACTGACCCCCCCCCCTTTTAATGCAATGAGGGAGTTGCTAGGGGGAAGAGTCGAAGAGAAGAGCTGATCTGTTAAACCGACATGACTGAAGTTACCTTAAATGTCACCTACCTGTAACCCAGACCGAACAAATTAAGCTCTAAAAAAAACAAAAACAAAAAAACAAGTGAATATATTGAAAACATGGTTGATGTGCTCATTTCTCGCTGTCGCGTTTGTTTTCATCTTTCGTCTTCTTGTGAACGTGCAGTGGACATTTCCCAGTGGACACCGACGCAAACAAAAATAGAGATGAAGGTTGTTTAAATCTACTCAGTGAAAAACTGGGATAGTATCCCGTTGTATGTTTACAAATTTTTCTTCTGAATGTTCGAAAGTTAACTAGTTTTTATGTCGGGGTCGGTTTTTAAATAGGTTTCTAGAAGTGAAACATTTTCCTCCTGTGTAAGAAAAAAAATCTAGAGAAAGTCTATATTTGCGTGTGTGTGTGTTTTCTTTTCTTATTTCAAAGGAATTATTTTCACAAGCGTACTCTTGGGAATTTTACAGAAAGTCTTATCATTTGAGAATAAACACAAAAATAATTCTTATATTTGAATAAAGTATAATAGAAGTCTTGTTTAAATTATGATTTATCGGTTTAGGAACTTGTGATCTTAAAAGAAAAAAACAATATTCCGAAGAATGGTGAAAAGTATTGACTCCTTGTATACGTGTGCGTCTAAAACTTTTTTTTAGGTCTAGTCAACTTACTTCTCAGTATCGGACTTAAGGATTTGACCATAGAAGCCAATTTCTTTTCTTGGGCAGGTTGAAGTTTTTCTTTTCATTGAGTTGGCATGAAGTCAACCCATTACATTTAAATGGTAAATGGAAACAGTGTGTAGCAAAATAAAATAAAAATAACGGCATCCGCGCTTTTCGAAATTACCCTTTTGCCATTTCGCTTTTACGAAAGACCTATGGAATTAACACATTAATTCCATCTATATTTTACGCGCGCACGAGTTTCCTCCCTTCCTTTCACACTCGTGCGTGTGTGCGCGCTGTTTTCACCCCTACCTTCCTCTCACAGCTAAACATAGCAGTAACCTCGCTAGCTCCTACTGATGAACTCAGACTAACAGATTTTGAATGTTTTTTCCCGCGCGTTTTTCGGCGTCTCAAAACGGCCAGCGTTTGCAAGCCAGTTGTCTTCCGACTTTCGACCCAACTACACGGACAACTCATTTATTCCGTGCCCTTAATCCATATGCGGGCCGGAATATCTTATCTCAACAATGTCGACTTCACACTTTACCAAGACTTCTTCTCGTCTTGAAGCTGCCCGCAGGTCAGACCTTCTCCGTTTTCGACCAGAAGACGTTAGAGACACACGACACGGTCGTGAGCAAAAACTTCGTATTCAACTAATGGCTTATTTTTATCCCTCGTCAGTGAACCAGTAAATACAGACAGGGATATCCTACTGACGAACAACTTGCTATCCGCAGGTCAGACCTTCTCCGTTTTCTGCTAGAAAATGTTAGAGACACACGACACGGTCGTGGGCAAAACTTCGTATTCAACAGGTGACTTACACTTACCCCTCGTCAGTGAACCAGTAAATACAGACAGGGATATTATTACCTTCGAACAAACATTTTTCGTCTCTCTGGGCTCGTCGTAAACAACTCCACAAGACCATGAAACTCGCTTCAAACATTCTTCGTTTCTCCTGGCTAGATGCCTACAGCAATCCGGTAAAATTCTCAACAGTTAATTCAAGACCTGACCGAACTCTGAGTCCCTACTTTGAACCTGAACACAAAAAGAAAAAACACAAAATCACATACACTCTCAAATCATTGGACTCTGAACCAGTACCTTAAAAATATGCATAACCTCACTTACAACGCCCAAAAAATCCACAGTGAGTACTCCTTTCTATCTGTGCGCACATACACCTCGTGTCTAACGAGTTCCCTTTTTCCAGAACCTTATAAAACTCTTTTTCCCGCCTTAGCCATCTTGCATTTCTATTTTGGCGCGGAACCCTTTTTCCAGATCTACTTGTTTCCATCTAATTAAAGTTACACATGTTTTACAAACGGACGTCTTTGTCATTTTATTCCGGCTATCTCTTTGATGTTCATTAATTTATGCACTTGTTGATTGACCCCTTTCCTCTCACTGTTCATTCACGCCTTTTTTATTTTTTTTACATTGCTTGTGGACTCGGTAGTTTAGTGTGGTGTCTGGCACAAGGCCACTTCGTAATAAACCAGCACTGCACGCTACCGGGTCCGCAACAGACCCAAATGTTCCCTACTATTCGTAATAATGTAAAGGGAATAAACAATTACTGTTAATTTATACGGGGGGGGAAGGTTGAACGAAACTCTCCGAAATAATCTTCGCCTATATTTACGTGCTTCAATATGCAATTTGAAGTTTGTTTTTTTTTCTTCTTCTATGACTGATGTTTTTGAAATACGACATACGAATTCTTTAAAGGTGCTCCAAACATCATTCATACTTTAAATCAGGAATCTTTTAAAAATTGAAGTGAAGCTTTTTAGAAACAAACTCACTACCGTTGATTGTACTGAAAATATAGTTTATTGGCGAAGTCTGAAAACATTCAAAAGTTATTCTTATATAAAATCACAGTAATTATCTTCAGTATCTGTCTATATTTCTGAGATGAGGTATGTACAGTATTTACATTATTCGGACTATTGTCCTCATCTTTGTCGCCATATTTATCACAACGTTTCGGCCGTTGTACGCTCCGGCCTTCTTCAGGTGGTTGGAATGTCGAACTGAACCCTTTATTTCGCTCACTGGGGTAGACTGTTCTAGTTCCACTTGCCATGTTTAATGGGTGTCAATTATCAGTTATCTTATATTAATTTCCCTCTGAAAGTTCTCCACTGCCTTAACCGGGTATTGAACTCACACTCTTTGGGTCCTGTCACTGGATTTAACCAACGCCGTTATCCACTGTGCATCTGTGTATGAATTTCAGTGTATTATAAACCTAATGTCTCAGCAACCATTTTTACCAGTGCTCATATTGCAATTATTGCTGTTATCATTACCTGTTTTTACAAGAGCTCATATTACAACTTTTGTTGTTATTATTGCTTTTCCATTAAACATGGCAAGTGGAACTAGAACAGTCTACCCTAGTGAGCGAAATAAAGGGTTCAATTCGATATTCCAACAACCTGAAGAAGGCCGGAGCGTACAACGGCCGAAACGTTGTGATAAATATGGCGACAAAGTTGAGGACAATAGTCCGAATAATGTAAATAAGTTATTCTTTGAGTTATATAATTTCGGTTTTCGAAAAGATTTCCTATAAACGCACTTCGTCCAGTAATAGGGTGAATCTTCTGAAAAGGTTCAGAACATAGAAGATCATGGCACCCCACGGTTTCCTTTTCCGTTAATATGTAAGAACTGTTCATGATTGTTCTTTAGAAAGATACTGGAGTGTTTTCCTGCTTCTGTGGTTTTGAATTCACTGTAGTTCTTTTAGACTGGCTACCAACCAAGGCAAAAAAGTTCTCGATCTACCCTGCTGACAGGATAGGATATGGAGTCTTACCCTTCTCAAGAGCAATACAAACTGATTGATCCTGAATTTTCAACTCGATCTGGCTATTCCATTTTCCGTTCTCTAGGCTTACGAACACATCACGTTGAAATATCGGTCCCCATATGATCACCGAATTTAAGCAACGTCGAGCCTGGTTATTACCTAAATGGGTGACAACTTGGGAATACCAGGCGCTGTAAGTTTGGATGTGCGAGTGGTATAATGGTTAATGGATTGGAATTTTTAATTGGAGAGCCGAGTTCCAATTCCAGTTTGGGTTTTTATATTCACATACGCCCAAATACTCTTTGGAAATGTATAAATCCATCTCTTCTCCTCCTAGCTCTGGGTTAATTAGTATCACTAAATCATTATTATCTTGAAACAAATTCTTAAAATCCCAAAATATTTTCTGGCTTTAAATAACCTGCAAAATGTTGATAAACCGTGAAAAATGAATCAATTAATCCTCTGTCTTCAGTGCCAGAGATCGGTTTTAAATTCGCTTGAATTTTCACTGCATTCAAATTTGAAGAGAGAATAAATAGTTGAATAAAAATGAAATTTCCCCGACAGTTAAATTTTATAATTACTACCAAATGCATGGACGAACGGTAGGGCCCGACTTAAATTTGACGTTCACAAGTCTGCTGGTATCGAACAGGCCCTTTCCGACACAGTCTATCTCCGCTGACTAGCCGCTAACTATTCTATATATTTATATCGTCAAAAGCATGCATATAGCAAAACTTCTGATTTCACTGGAACATGTGTAACGGTCAGATGTTGCACTACTGCGTATTGTCATGAAACTCTCCACTCTATGTTGTTAAGTATATTGCGACAGCATTGTAATATCCGACAGCTCACAAATAGTTTGTAGCTATATTAAGCAACGTCTTATCAACATCTGTGACGCCGCTGGGACCATGTGTATCGGCATTTGCTTTTCCATTGGACAATTTCAGCGACCTAGAGAAAGGAAACCTACTGCATAGGTAGCAGTTCCTCTCCGCCCCCATATCAACCTAACCCGGTCTTGTGTGCTGGAGAGACGTGAAGCAGATGTACAGACGTTGCGTTTCACACATCATCTAAAGGACAAGTTCATAGTCTCCAGAGATTGGTGAACGTCTAATCAAAGAGACTGATTATAGAGCAATACCAAAAATAAATATGCATTTTTAAAAAATTGGACTGAGAGACTGAATCGACAAAAAAGTTGTTTAAAACAACTTTTAAAAAATCATTTCTAGACAGTGATTTTTTTCGTAAAATTGTTTCTTCAAATTCATGCGGAATTCATTAATAAAAACATTTTGATGCATTTACTGACATTATTTAGTGAATAAATAGTAATATTTTAGCTACCAAATTGATCCATAACTTTTTTCTATGGCAGAAATATTCGTACTAAATATGTAGTATAAATGCATATACAAATAAATATATTTGAAAACTGTAACGTTAATTGTTACCTATGATAATTTATTCCAGATTTATGAAATGTTTATAGTTTGATTAAATTTCAATGATGCCAATTGAGTAAACTGTACTGTTATTCTTTTGACTAATTAATCAAACTTTCAGACCAAGAAACACACATGGAAATATAAGGAAGACTAAAGAAAGCAGGCGAAAGAAGGAAAATTGCGAGGATAGAAAAGTCAATAGTAAGAAAGCTACAAAATCGAAAAATGAAAGACTGATATATATCTGCTCCTGAAATTAATTTCAGTTGAGCACTCTGGGGAAGAGGTGTGGGTCGGTAAACAGTGACTATTATAGCTATATAGCGAGACTCTTCACGAAAGCGAATTGAGTCACTAAATGTTTCTAAAAATAAATATGCTAAAAAAAATCCACCTTCATCCCTACCGTGCTCCGACTGACACCAATTCAGTCGGGTTTCGATCCTAGCTAGAGGCAACCGGATGTCTAGCCACACTGATGAGCTGTAAACAGTGAAACAGTCTGTCTGTGGATGACGTTATATATATATATATATATATATATATATATATATGTGTGTGTGTGTGTTAAATTCCCAGATCAGTTCTGGATCAAATTGGTATAAAATGACAATTGAAAAAAAAAATCTTAGATTTTTGCCGACGTGTTTCGTCTTCAGACTTTTTCAAGGCAAAAATGAAATCCAAATGTAAAAAGATACACGATTCTGTCTAAGCCTTTTTTTTCCAACAAAATTATGAAGGTTATTATTATGATTATTATGCATAAAATGCCAAATATTTTTATGATAGATTTACTACATAAAGGTCACAAGTTGGCCACCCGGAGTAATTACTGAAGACACGTGTCTGATATATATGAAGAAATATTGTCTTAAGATGTGCTATATTTATGGGATAAAATGTTCAATATCAGAGATAGAGCGTGTATAAATATAAAAGTGAACATAGAAGTCAACACTTAGAGGCAACATTTTGTTTCATGCTAGACGCAATCGTCAGACCACTTTCACTTATATATATATATATATATATATATATATATATATATATATAAGGAAGAGGTTGTAGTTGTTCCAGCGAGAGAAAAGTATATATATTAAAAAGAAGTGAGAACTGTAAACATTTTTGGTTGCAATGTGTACTTTTTAAATATATATATATTATGCTTTATTTTTCGTATTGTAACACGAGTTTCGGGTCTCGCGACCTTCTTCAAGCAAAGAGTAGATATGTACACATATTATTAAAATGAATTAATTTTCCTTGTTTTTCGATGTTGAACATTCTCTTTTTTGTTTGGTGTATATCTATCTATCTATCTATCTATCTATCTATCTATCTATCTATCTATCTATCTATCTATATATATATATCTATATATATATCTATATCTATATCTATATATATATCTATCTATCTATCTATATATATATATATATATATATATATATACCCAAACAAAAAAGAGAATGTTTAACATCGAAAAACAAGGAAAATTAATTTGGTGTATATGTATTAATTTGGTGTATATATCTCTCTCTCTCTCTCTCTCTATATATATATATATATATATATATATATATATATATATATATATATATATATACACCAAACAAAAAAAAAAAGAGAATGTTTAACATCGAAAAACAAGGAAAATTAATTTGGTGTATATGTATTAATTTGGTGTATATATATATCTATCTCTCTCTCTCTCTATATATATATATATATATATATATATATATATATATATATATATAAACAAAAAAAAAGAGAATGTTTAACATCGAAAAACAAGGAAAATTAATTCATATATATATATATATATATATATATATATATATATATATATATATATATATATATATATATTTAAGAGAGAGAAAGAGTATGAGAAGAAATGAAGGCAAAAAATTGAGAGGAACAGATCTGTTGGTTGTATATAAAAAGACAATGGAAAAGGAAAGTTTCAAAAGTAGGTAGTGATGGAAAGGCATAAAATATTATTCCATGCAATCATTAACTCCATTCGTGTTACCATTTGTGTAAAAGCATGAAATAAAATTCACTTGAAATAAAAACAAATAAAAAAATCAACAACTATGAAAATAAAAAACTTCAAAAACCGCACCAACTGCCTAATAAGCAAAAAGGGTGGTTCTTGAATCAAGTAAGAACGTCAGGGTATTTACGCAACACCCAGGCAGAAATAAAATCACCGTGAAGGGCGGCTGCACAAAGGAAATGGCGTCAATTGTGGCCATTTCTATGACAAAGCTAGTGTTATGGAATATTCAGCAAAGCAATAAACGAAACAATAATGACTTCAAATACATTGATAACATATTAATAAACAGATAGATAGAAATATGTATCTACAGGTTGCGATGGATAAATTTTCTACATTACACATAAATGAAAATAACTTTGATATCTCATTTTAACCGGTATATTTACCAAAATTATACAAAAATATCTTGAAATACTAAAGAGTAAATTTATTCAATAAAATCGCTATCGGCTTCAACCAGGACCTCCAGATAACTTCGGAATCTCCTGCAACTCTTCTAGACGGTCTCCTTGCTTATGTTGGTGATTGCTGCCATAATCCTTGCCTTCAGTTGATCTTTGATGTTACAAGGAGTTTTGTTGATCTCTTGCTCAACTGCGCCCCGAGCAAGGGGGTTATAGTTTGGGGATTTAGGTCGCCAGATGTAAGGGGTGATGTCGTCGCAGAAATTGTCTGACAAGCAGGACTAGTTTCTCCAGCTAGTTTGTGCAATCGTCTGTTGCCTGATATAAGGTTTTACAGCAGCCACCCACTTGTAGGCCTCCATGTTGAGTTTGAAGCCATGTAGAAGAATGAATGGAGGCATAAGATTGCTATTACTAGTGATCACTCCAAACACCTTCGTAATCATTATTAGACTCATCCAACTCTTTCCGAATCCTATGCACTTTCCTGAAATGGTAAAGCAGTACAGCATGTCGTTTCCAAGGTAATTGTGTTGTGGTGCTCTTTTTCCCACAGGGGAATTAAAAATATAAAATGGCAACAATTTACTCATCGCACCATGTATATACATATCTATATATATTTCACAGCTCACCTATAATGCGCCTACATCACCAAACACAAATCTGGCTTAAGTTTTATTTGCTATTCTCCACATTAATTCATTAATGCTCTCCATAAAATCCGTTATAAATTAAAAACCATTTATTAATTAGCGGTGTCTAAAATAAAATCCAGTATTATAGGATTCTACCTATAACACCACAAGGCTCACTGTCGTTAAAATAGGACAGTCGGTGCCAATGGATTAAATGATGTGTGTTGTCTCCAAATATTTTCGTCACAAATTAAAAAAAAAAACGAAAAAAGTATTTCTTGCCTACAAACTAAGTTACTTACTGAACAATCTTATACTACATTTAACTCCCAAAACTTTTATTTTGATTTTTTCCTATATAGAAGTCCTGGGTATGACGATAAACTACATCCGCATCCCGGGTAAGACGATAAACTACGTCCAACAACAAGGCCTCTTATCAGGAGGCTTTGAGCAGCGTGGAACCACCTCTTAATTGTTGATGTTCCCAGGTCCGCCCTAACCCGGGGTGGTAGCACCTGTTAGGGTCCCAGCTATGGGCAAATAGTTAACCCCGAAACTGAGGTAAAAAGCATGATAAAAGTGTAAAAAAAGGTTTTAATACCAGAAATA